ACACCTCATTCATTAATCTACACACACTCATGAAAAAACTATATTGTAACACAACACTTTGTTATTTGAGGTTTACTATCGAAAACAACCTTCCCACTACCTCACAAAGCTCTGAACTGGACAACCGCTACCGCCCACTATCAGTCCAATATTCATACCCAAAAATGTAAGACAATCACAGCTCAGCTGTACCATCACCAACCTTCAGCTTACGCAGACTTGGTCGTCTCTTGCTTCTGATGCTGGTCCTGCTGTTGCTTCAATTGCTTTTGTTGCTCGTCTTGCGCCGCCTCGCTCGATTCCTTCAACTCCTTCTTCTTCTTCTCCTGGGCCTTGCCAAATGGCGTCGTACTCCAGAGCTTTTCAAACTCCTCGGGTGTACTTTGAGAACAAATCGTATGGTGTTCACCTTCATCATTTCCGTACTTTCGGTTCCACACCGTCTTTAGACGTTTACCCATGACCTCACGCTCATGCTCGGCTTTCAGACGACCCGTCGAGTCTTCGTAACGTCGACGTGTACTCATCACTTTACGCCCTTCCTCATCCACGACCGACGAACTACTGAACGAATACGACGAGAAAGCGCGTTTATTCTCAGCTTCTGCGGGTGTCTCATTCTTCTCCTTTTGCTGCTCTGCTGTAGGCAAATCCTTAGAAAAACTCCTCGTCAGTACTGACACCGGGCACATTACGCATGCTCATTGATAATTGAGGCATCGCATTCATGTCCATCATCGACAATTCCAGCATTGACATGGGGTGCCATAGCGTTGGGCGTACTAAATCCCACGACGAAAACATTTTGATATCACTTGATAGTTTCTTGTACTCTTCTTGACTTTTGCTTGAGGTAGATAATTCACAACTGAGGTCTAATGACGGACTTGACAAACGCCGTTGACATCGGTCACTCTACGAGGAGGTACAAGGAGTTTGGATACCTTGAGACCAGTCTAGCAAATTCTAACGGTAGCATCACACCAACGTATGTTGAAGTGAGCGTTGAATTTCTAGAACGTAGCCCATACTCAGTCTAAATTGATTTTCATCATGTGTCGTGCCCCCCAATATCTGCTGTATGAACTTCTTCCAGTCTCATTACTGAAGTGTTAGCTCGAACATTCTCCTGCTTCTGCTGAGACGAGGCCTTGTGTTGAAGAATTCTTCTGCATATTCAGATCAATGGTTGTATTCACCTACTGAAATACTAGCTTCCTCGCCTGCACTTGCGTTATTTGCACTAAGTCTTTCGTGTTTTCGACGGTGCCAACCAAGCACAAAGACACCTTCTAGAAGACATCTAGCCACCTTTGTTCTAATATTTTGCACGTCATTGACTGCATGGTGCGTCACGCCAACCAAGAGTCACCAAGCAACCGCATTTGATGCCAGACCAACAGCATTGACCATGAACCATATGCAGTATGTTGCATGCAGAACCTTTACATACTGCGGTAGTTTTGAGCTAGAGACAGATCTGTTGATGATGTAGTGTTTAACTAAGAGGTGTTGTCGGTCTTATTGTGCTACGAAGACTGCAGTCGACGCCAATAGCTATCTAGTTTATTTCTAAGCACTGAAAGTGACATCTAATGCTGACATTGTACAAGCAAATTGATAATGGCAAACATTGCAGACGTCAAATGATCGTGAACATGTGGTCAGGTGAGTTTGAATATGTTGTGTAGAAGAGGTAGTCAATGAAAAAACTCGATGGAGAGACATCAATTGCCAGTGTCGCCATAGACAAGATAATGATCTACTGAACAATGCAAATGAATCTTACGAATGCAAGTTCTTACCCATTGAGATCTTACGATATGTAGTTGTAGAAGAAGGTTCTGAATTGATTGATCGACAACGTTGAAGAACTCTACACATGCACAGAGATATTCAAATAGACATGCTTCATACTCCATCCAATTGTTCTGTACATATAAACACTATCTATTTACCTAATAACGCGTTTGACCGTCTGTAATTTATTATTAGCTCTAAATTAGCGTCACTTTTATTCGTTACGCTGTAATAGACCGTTTTAACTCGAACAAAACACCTCATTCATTAATCTACACACACTCATGAAAAAACCATATTGTAACACAACACTTTGTTATTTGAGGTTTACTATCGAAAACAACCTTCCCACTACCTCACAAAGCTCTGAACTGACAACCGCTACCGCCCACTATCAGTCCAATATTCATACCCAAAATGTAAGACAATCACAGCTCAGCTGTACCATCACCAACCTTCAGCTTACGCAGACTTGGTCGTCTCTTGCTTCTGATGCTGGTCCTGCTGTTGCTTCAATTGCTTTTGTTGCTCGTCTTGCGCCGCCTCGCTCGATTCCTTCAACTCCTTCTTCTTCTTCTCCTGGGCCTTGCCAAATGGCGTCGTACTCCAGAGCTTTTCAAACTCCTCGGGTGTACTTTGAGAACAAATCGTATGGTGTTCACCTTCATCATTTCCGTACTTTCGGTTCCACACCGTCTTTAGACGTTTACCCATGACCTCACGCTCATGCTCGGCTTTCAGACGACCCGTCGAGTCTTCGTAACGTCGACGTGTACTCATCACTTTACGCCCTTCCTCATCCACGACCGACGAACTACTGAACGAATACGACGAGAAAGCGCGTTTATTCTCAGCTTCTGCGGGTGTCTCATTCTTCTCCTTTTGCTGCTCTGCTGTAGGCAAATCCTTGAAAAACTCCTCGTCAGTACTGACACCGGGCACATTACGCATGCTCATTGATAATTGAGGCATCGCATTCATGTCCATCATCGACAATTCCAGCATTGACATGGGGTGCCATAGCGTTGGGCGTACTAAATCCCACGACGAAAACATCTTGATATCACTTGATAGTTTCTTGTACTCTTCTTGACTTTTGCTTGAGGTAGATAATTCACAACTGAGGTCTAATGACGGACTTGACAAACGCCGTTGACATCGGTCACTCTACGAGGAGGTACAAGGAGTTTGGATACCTTGAGACCAGTCTAGCAAATTCTAACGGTAGCATCACACCAACGTATGTTGAAGTGAGCGTTGAATTTCTAGAACGTAGGCCATACTCAGTCTAAATTGATTTTCATCATGTGTCGTGCCCCCCCAATATCTGCTGTATGAACTTCTTCCAGTCTCATTACTGAAGTGTTAGCTCGAACATTCTCCTGCTTCTGCTGAGACGAGGCCTTGTGTTGAAGAATTCTTCTGCATATTCAGATCAATGGTTGTATTCACCTACTGAAATACTAGCTTCCTCGTCTGCACTTGCGTTATGTGCACTAAGTCTTTCGTGTTTTCGACGGTGCCAACCAAGCACAAAGACACCTTCTAGAAGACATCTAGCCACCTTTGTTCTAATATTTTGCACGTCATTGACTGCATGGTGCGTCACGCCAACCAAGAGTCACCAAGCAACCGCATTTGATGCCAGACCAACAGCATTGACCATGAACCATATGCAGTATGTTGCATGCAGAACCTTTACATACTGCGGTAGTTTTGAGCTAGAGACAGATCTGTTGATGATGTAGTGTTTAACTAAGAGGTGTTGTCGGTCTTATTGTGCTACGAAGACTGCAGTCGACGCCAATAGCTATCTAGTTTATTTCTAAGCACTGAAAGTGACATCTAATGCTGACATTGTACAAGCAAATTGATAATGGCAAACATTGCAGACGTCAAATGATCGTGAACATGTGGTCAGGTGAGTTTGAATATGTTGTGTAGAAGAGGTAGTCAATGAAAAAACTCGATGGAGAGACATCAATTGCCAGTGTCGCCATAGACAAGATAATGATCTACTGAACAATGCAAATGAATCTTACGAATGCAAGTTCTTACCCATTGAGATCTTACGATATGTAGTTGTAGAAGAAGGTTCTGAATTGATTGATCGACAACGTTGAAGAACTCTACACATGCACAGAGATATTCAAATAGACATGCTTCATACTCCATCGAATGTTCTGTACATATGAACACTATCTATTTACCTAATAACGCGTTTGACCGTCTGTAATTTATTATTAGCTCTAAATTAGCG